TATAATCAAACCAAAAACATTGAAATGTGAAATATAGCGCCAAGTTCGCACATCACTGAGCAAAGTCGCGGAATCGTGTTCAGTGTCTGATGAGGAATTTCCCCCACGAATCATTATCACTCAATTCTGCAAGTGGTTCTGATTTACTATCGCTGTTCTCTAGCCGGTCTAAAACCGCATCTGACCTATAGGGACGCTTTTTGGACGCCATGGACGTTTCTCAGTTTCCAGGCAGAAAGAACAGTAACAATGCAGGCAGGGCGCCGGACAAAGCACTCGGGACACAATGTATGTGAAATGGTTTGATACAGGAATGTTATACTATGTGATTTTAGTGGTATTTAGTGAATGTCACTTTTTGTCATTTTCAAATTTTCCGCCAGTTCCGTCCCCCCCCGTACGTCCCAACGTTGCAGGGAACGGAACCCAGAAGACAGATGCCAACATCAGCCCGGAGGACATTGCCGGGGACACTGCAGGAGGGACATCGCGGGAGCGCAGGAGAAGGTAAGTGATCAGGAGGGATCGCGGAGCAACGCCGCATAGTATTCCCGAGAGTAGCTCGGGGGTTACCCTTGTGGTACTGAAACTTTACCCCGAGCTACACTCGGGAACACCGCCAGGGGGGTTAATTGTTAAAATCTACATTGGTTTGCTAGAAATGACATTAAAGTGGCTAAATGGTTAGCAGTTCCACCTGGCAGTACTCGGGTTGTTGGTTCGAATCCCAACCATGGCACCACCTGCCTGGAGTTTGCATGCTCTCCCTGTGCTTTGTGGGTTTCCGCCCAGTACTTAGTTTTTCTTCCCACTCTCCAAAGAGATGCTGGTAGGATTATTATTATACAGGATTTATGGCGCCAACACTTTGCTCAGCACTTTACAATATAAAGGGAGACAATACAGCAACAATACAGTTCAATACAAGAGGGATAGGAGGGCCCTGATCCTGGGAGCTTACAATCTAAGATTTACCATTAGAAGTGCTGGGCCTATGGCTAGGAAGAGTCTAGTTTTCATTGGACGGTCATCAACAACACCTTTCAGCCCAATACCATCCAACTACCACAATGATACAATGGCGGGACCAATAGAATCTCATAGCCAAGTGCCCACTGTTACAATTGGATCATTTATAAAATATCAACTCAACTGGGACAGCACAGTGGCTAAGTGGTTAGTACTTCCACCTGGCAGTACTAGGGTTATTGGTTCAAATCCCAACCACAGCACCCCCTGCCTGGAGTTTGCATGTATTCCCTGTGCCTGCATGGGTTTCCTCCCACACTCCAAAGACGTGCTGGTAGGTGAATTGTCTCCTGTCTAAATTGTCCCTCGTATGTGTATGTATGAATGTGAGTTAGGGACCTTAGATTGTACGCCCCTTGAGGGTTAGGGACTGATGTGAATGTACAATATATATGTAAAGTGCTGCGTAAATTGAGCTATATAAGTACCTGAAATAAATAGTCACAGTCCAGCCTTGGCAGAGGCTGTAGCTGTTGATTCTATGTAACTGATGCCCGTGAAGCCTTCTTTGCATCTAAGGACCCTTGAGGGTTAGGGACTGATGTGAATGGTACAAATATATATATATATGTAAAGGGCTGCGTAAATTGACAGCACTATGTAAGTACCTGAAATAAATAAAACCCCAAAACAATCATATCTTTTCTGAAAGCAGAGGCCCTGGAAAGGAAAATGGAGGTAGTTGCAAATTTTTTTTTATGTTGCATGCGGCTATTTATCAAAGGCATATTTTCAGAAAAAAAAATACACTAAAAATGTATTTTAGTGCAAACAAACATAATATTATACCCACTTTTGAGGTAAAATATAAAAAAATGAGGTTGCCTTGAGTAAATAGATACCAAACACGTCAAGATGTAAAATGTTGGCGTGCGCCAACCATCACCTTTGTACCTCCTCATCGTCAAGAAGGCTCTCTTGTCGTTATTTACGCTGGAGAAGCTGGACGCTATTGCTCTCAACTTCCAATCTATAAAACGGTTCTTCGTATGATGGAGATGCTATATGGAATACACTTTTTCCCGTGCCCACCTCACTGACAACAACCTCCTCGATCCACTACAGTCTGGCTTCCGTCCCCTACACTCCAATGAAACCGCCCTCCTCAAAATCTCTAATGACCTGCTAATCACCAAAGCTAATGACCACTACTCAGTCCTTTTACTCCTTGACCTCTCCGCGGCCTTCGACACAGTTGACCACCCCCTCCTCCTTGATAAACTACACTCCCTCGGCATCAGAGACTTCGCTCTCTCCTGGCTCTCCTCCTATCTATCCCAACGCTCCTTCAGCGTTACCTATAACGCTACCACCTCCCCCTCTCTGTTGGGGTCCCCCAAGGCTCTGTCCTCGGGCCCCTTCTCTTCTCCATCTACACCTCCTCCCTCGGCAAACTGATACACTCCCATGGCTTCAACTATCACCTCTACGCTGATGACACACAAATTTACCTCTCCACCCCTCGCCTCACCCCAACAGTCTCCGCCCGCATCACCCACTACTGAACGACATATCAGCCTGGATGTCGCTCCATTTCCTCAAACTGAACCTCTCCAAAACCGAGCTCCTAGTCTTCCCCCCCATGCCCCCCCTCCCCCCACCCTCTCCATCACGACCAACAACGCCACCATCAACCCACCCCGCAAGCCAAAGTCCTAGGTGTCACTCTAGACTCAAACCTGTCCTTCCAACCTCATGTCCAATCGTTGGCAAACTCATGCAGGCTCCACCTCCGCAACATCTCCAAAATACGTTCGTTCCTAACCCCAGACACTACTAAACAACTCGTTCACTCCCTTATTATCTCACGTCTGGACTACTGCAACTCCCTCCTCACCGGCCTACCTCATCGCAGACTATCCCCGCTTCAGTCTATCCTGAACTCAGCGGCCAAACTCATCCACCTTACCAACCGCTCCTCTTCTGCCACCCCCCTCTGTCACTCCCTCCACTGGCTCCACCCCCCTCTGTCATTCCTCCACTGGCTCCACCCCCCCTGTCATTCCCTCCACTGGCTCCCGATTGCCCAACGCATTAAATTCAAACTACTAACACAGACATACAAAGCCATTCATAACGCTGCCCCAAACTACCTCACCGACCTGATACCCAAATACCACCCAACCCGTACTCTTCGCTCCTCACAAGACCTCCTACTTCCTAGCTCCCTGGTCTCCACCTCCCATGCCCAACTGCAGGACTTCTCCAGGACTTCCCCCATCCTCTGGAACTCACTACCCCAATCCATCAGACTGTCACCTTCCCTCCTCACCTTTAGGTGCACCCTGAAAACCCATCTCTTCGGGGAAGCCTACCCCACCCTCACGTAACAGCCGATCTCCTCCACTCCTCCTACCACTCCATCCCCCACAGCCACTTCCTCCTGTACCACTATCCCCTCCCTCCTAGATTGTAAGCTCCAAGAGCAGGGCCCTCGAACCCCTCGTGTATTGTTTGTTGCTGTATTGTTTCATGTTCTGTCCCCCACTATAATGTACAGCGCTGAGCAAACCTTTCTGGCACTATATAAATACTGTATAATAATAATAATAATTTCGCATATTCAACCTTTCCAATATACAGACTGGTATCCGAGAGCGGACCGGTCAATTCCCTGGGCAAGCTTAAGATTCTTGATTCCCAACCGTCTCTTGACTCTCCCCCTTCAACAGCATGTGGTCTTCTGGTGTCCTCATTCACCCAGAACCCATGTATATCTAGAGACCATGTCGGGTCTAATTCCCATAGTGTGCAATCGACCTCATGGTCTCCAGCCGTGAGCCAATAGACTGTTCTGCAAAACCATCTCATGGTCCCCAGCTGAGAGAGGCAGACTGTGCTACATTCACCGAGAGGAAAGTGTCCTCTGATAATCATGCTAAACCACTCTGGAGTATCCAATGCCCCACTGTCCCCCTCCTGTTAAAGCTTTCCAAGCAAAAAACCTCAAAAGGCCATTTCCTAGACTGTTGATGTGTGCTGGCTGCCTCTGCACCGATTTGGGAAACAACCTGTCCAACTGCAGTGGCTCCTTCGTGGGGTAATGCTACATGTGCGCGTATCCCCCCCCCGACCCCACTGATGGGGAATCGCAATCGCAAAACCCTCTGGAACCCAAAATTCTCCATAGGTGATGCTTTAAAGTGTTACTGAACCCACCACAGTACAATCAGTCTGTAGATGCAGTAAAGCATGCTTGTTATACTCACTGTGGAACCTAAGGGGTTAATCCTCTGCATTGTGTAAAAAGGCTGTTTGATCCTGTTTTCTCTGATCCTACACTTCTTCTACTGTCCCCAATCCATCTGCTGATAGAACAGAGCCTGGGAGGCAAGATGCACATGCTCAGTTTGGTGTGTATTGCTAGAGAGGTTTTTTTTATCTTGGGAGAGTGCATTTGATCAGCGCAGGGCCAATCAGCACTTTCCAGAGGGTCAGGGGTCATGCAGCCTCATAGGACAATCAGGGAGAATGAAAGCTCCTCCTACAAGCTTTAACCGGTGCTCGGCTGGACACTGATAGAAGTCACAAGACTGCTGTATACTGCTGATGAGAAAAGGTATTTAGCAGTTTATATTTACTAAAATAATTGCATTTCTATGTTCTGTGTACTGTGGGAGACCAGATATAGTGAATGCAGGGACCAGGGAGAGCGGATATAGTGAATGCAGGGTCCGGGGAGACCAGATATAGTGAATGCAGGGTCCGGGGAGAGCGGATATAGTGAATGCGGGGTCCGGAAAGACCAGACATAGTGAATGCAGGGTCTGGGGAGACCGGATATAGTGAATGCAGGGTCCGGGGAGAGCGGATATAGTGAATGCAGGGTCCGGGGGAGAGCGGATATAGTGAATGCAGGGTCCAGGGAGAGCGGATACAGTGAATGCAGGGTCCGGGGAGAGCAGATATAGTAAATGCAGGGTCCAGGGAGACCAGATATAGTGAATACAGGGTCCGGGGAGACCAGATATAGTGAATGCAGGGTCCGGGGAGACCAGATATAGTGAATGCAGGGTCCGGGGAGAGCGGATATAGTAAATGCAGGGTCCAGGGAGACCAGATATAGTGAATACAGGGTCCGGGGAGACCAGATATAGTGAATGCAGGGTCCGGGGAGACCAGATATAGTGAATGCAGGGTCCGGGGAGAGCGGATATAGTGAATGCAGGGTCCGGGGAGAGCGGATATAGTGAATGCAGGGTCCGGGAGAGCAGATATAGTGAATGCAGGGTCCGGGAGAGCGGATATAGTGAATGCGGGGTCTGGGGAGAGCAGATATAGTGAATGCAGGGTCAGGGGAGAGCGGATATAGTGAATGCAGGGTTCGGGGAGAGCGGATATAGTGAATGCAGGGTCCGGGAGAGCGGATATAGTGAATGCAGGGTCCGGGAGAGCGGATATAGTGAATGCAGGGTTCGGGGAGAGCGGATACAGTGAATGCGGGGTCCAGGGAGACCAGATATAGTGAATGCAGGGTTCGGGGAGAGTGGATATAGTGAATGCAGGGTTCGGGAGAGCGGATATAGAGAATGCAGGGTCCAGGGCTTAGTAACACTTTAAAAGCCTTTGCAGGTTATCAGTTCAGAGTTAACCGTGAATTATGGACTTAGAATTATGACTCTCTTTCTGACTATTGTGGTGATGCTTCACATATGTGGTGCAATTTATATTTACATTTATATACGCACATGCTCACCCTACACTGCATGATTGAACTGTGTATTTGGGGTGACAGGGGTGCTTTAAAATTTTCATTTAAATTATTTTTTAGTTATTTTATACGTATAGCTTTTTTTTTTCAGTTTTGAATTTTTTTTCTTTACTTTATTCCTATCACAGGGGGGCTACCAAACCCCCTATGTAATCAAACTGGACAGGTGACAGGTCCTCTTTAAGGAGGCATGGGGGGTTCCAATGTCTCCCAAGCCCCCCAGTGCAGCTAACCAAGCACTGGTCATGACAGATGGTTGCTGGATGATCTTCAGCTAGTCCGTGATCCCTGCTCCCATGTATCCTGATCTCATGCTTATCCTGACTTTCTGTTAATGACTCGGCCTGCCCCTAGATTTCCCACTGTCTGATTCCTGGTTGTGACCTCGGCTCGTTATAAACACTTTGTTTCTACTGATCAACCATGTATGATTCTGGCTTAGCTCCTGATTACTGTGCTGTATTCAACCCTACTGATTCACCGTGTATGACCCTGGCTTTGGCTCCTTACCACTCCGTTATCTTCAACCCTACTTATCCACCATGTATGAGCCTGACTTTGGCTCAACCCTACCTTACCACTCTGTTATCTTCAACCCTACTGATCCACCATGTATGAGCCTGAGCTCCTGACTTATGGCTCCTTACCACTCCATTATCTTCAACCCTACTGATCCACCATGTATGAGCCTGACTTTGGCTCCTTACCACTCCATTATCTTCAACCCTACTGATTCACTGTGTATGACCCTGACTTTGGCTCCTTACCACTCCATTATCTTCAACCCTACTGATCCACCATGTATGAGCCTGACTTTGGCTCCTGACCACTCTGTTATCTTCAACCCTACTGATTCACTGTGTATGACCCTGACTTTGGCTCCTTACCACTCCGTTATCTTCAACCCTACTTATCCACCATGTATGAGCCTGACTTTGGCTCCTAACCACTCTGTTATCTTGAACCCTACTGATTCACTGTGTATGACCCTGACTTTGGCTCCTGACCACTCTGTTACCTCCAACTCTACTGACAGCCTGTGTATGACCTTGGCTTGTCTCCAGACCCAAGTCTCTCACCTGCATCCTACTGCTCACTTATGTATGACCTTGGTTTGTCCTTGACATCAGCACCACTACCCTCCAGTTCTTACCTTCTATCCTGCATCATCTTTTCCTACTGTATCTACATTCCACAAGCTATTGGGTCCAACCTGCTGTCTCTCCATGATCCCACTGAGATTCCCATCTCGTGGCAATGAAGCCACCCTGCTGAAAACCTCCAGGAGTGGCCACGAGCACACTGGACTTTTAGCACCCATACCACTTTGTGCCTTGCACTCCCTGTCACCATCTCCAGGGGGGTGATCAGACAAATGGTCCCCTTGTCACTTCGGTCTCTAACCAGATACAAGGCATCAAGTCTGCTTCTTCAGGGGTTGAGAAGGTTGTGAATGATATCATGTTTACTTACTGCACATCCAACATTGCTGAAAGCAGTACATGGGTCTTGCAGAGGATTGCATGGAACCAGTATAGGTAGGTGGCACTATCTTGCCACTTGAAGAAGCCTGGTATGAACGTTATTTATAGGCTCACCCAGGGCTGGGACAAGTGGTGTGCAGGAGGGGCAGCTGTCCTGGGCACAGCAGAGCAAAAGGGCAGATAATGAATTCAGGGCTATACACCCATTTTACAATATGAATCATTAGCGCAGTTCCACATCCTTGCCCTGGGCACTGGATGAACCTGTCCTGATACTGGACTCACTCCCCAGTGGCTACCATGTAGTATTGGTTTCTGAATGGGTTTTCATATATTATATCCCAATTGTAGGCAGGTGCAGTCTGTTTTCCCCACTGTAGGTGGTGCTGAACCTGAGTGGTACCACACCCTGGATAGGAAGTCAGGGGAAACATGGTTTCTCTATGGTTTCCTGATCCCTTGGAGCAGTGTTCTGGTTGGCTATGCTGCATTCAGGAGACTTCTGGCAGCCATCTTGGGTCAGCAGATTCTTTATAAATCCCTGCCCCTGAGTTTTGGAGTGTATTTGTGATGTGGTTAGTATAAGGACATAGACCCCGTGTGACAGGGAAAGTGATCAGCGGCAGGGAAAGGTTACGGACGAGTAGGGACAGGTTATGGGCTCGCTATCCTGAAAGGAAGCTTCCCCTTTTTGGACCTGGACCAGCCAGGCCACACTCTACCCCCTGAAACAGATGCTGTCAGCAAATCTATTCCTGCTGCATCTCTGCATTTGAACTGTGTTTCTCTACATCATGTGTGTCAAACACAAGGCCTGGGGGGTGAATCTGACCTGCCAGGCCATTTCATGTGGCCCTCACACCTCTTCTACAGCTGCAGCAGCACCCCCCTTGTTTCTGGTCCCCCCTTCTCAACAGTCGGCAGCAGACAGGAAGACAGAACTCCATCTACAGATCCTGCTCCTCTTTGTGCAGCCACAGCACCCACATGTCTCCACCTCTCCTGGTTTCATCATTCAGTTGACTCCAGCCCTCCTCTGGTCTTCCTCCAGACCCTGCACTTCCTGGTTCCCAGCTCCACCCCCAGCTTCTTCCCAAGCACAAGGTAAGGGGGGTGCACTGTGATGTAAGGGAGGGTGGGAGACTCTTGAATTCTGATGGTGGGGAGGCTCTTGACATCTGATGTAAGGGGGGAGGGTGCTCTGGGCATCTAGTCTTACAGATACAACTAGTTCTTTCGAGGGCAACCCTAATGCTGGTGCGGCCCGCAATTAAACAGAGTTTGACACCCCTGCCCTACGTAATGCTCTCCCACTGGGGTGTTTGTAGTTTGGTATTTTCTTCAATACAAGTTCCAAGTTTTAACGCAACCTGGCTCTGTGTCTTTACTGTTGCCACACCACGCTGCACCTACTCACACAACCTCAGCTCACTCACATGGAAGAAAAAATATATTTGAAATGCTACAATTTTGGCCATATTCATATATATTTCAATAAATATATATATATATATATATATATATATATATACAGTGGGGCAAAAAAGTATTTAGTCCCCACCAGTTGTGCAAGTTCTCCCACTTACAAAGATGAGAGAGGCCTGTAATTGGCATCATAGGGAGACCTCAACTATGAGAGACAAAATGAGAAAACAAATCCAGACAATCACATTGGCTGATCTGGAAAGAATTTATTTGCAAATTATGGTGGAAAATAAGTATTTGGTCAATATGAAAAGTTCATCTCAATACTTTGTTATATATCCTTTGTTGGCAATGACAGAGGTCAGACGTTTCCTGTAAGTCTTCACAAGGTTTGCACACACTGTTGCTGGTATGTTGGCCCATCCTCCATGCAGATCTCCTCTAGAGCAGTGATGTTTGGGGCTGTCGCTGGGCAACACGGACATTCAACTCCCTCCAAAGGTTTTCTATGGGGTTGAGATCTGGAGACTGGCTAGGCCACTCCATGACCTTGAAATGCTTCTTACAAAGCCACTCCTTCGTTGCCCGGGCGGTATGTTTGGGATCATTGTCATGTTGGAAGACCCAGCTACGTTTCATCTTCAATGCCCTTGCTGATGGAAGGAGGTTTGCACTCAAAATCTCACGATACATGGCCCCATTCATTCTGTCCTGTACATGGATCAGTCGTCCTGGTCCCTTTGCGGAGAAACAGCCCCAAAGCATGATGTTGCCACCCCCATGCTTCACAGTAGGTATGGTGTTCTTTGGATGCAACTCAGCATTCTCTCTCCTCCAAAACACGACGAGTTGTGTTTCTACCAAACAGTTCTATTTTGGTTTCATCTGACCATATGACATTCTCCCAATCCTCTTCTGGATCATCCAAATGCTCTCTAGCAATCTTCAGACGGGCCCGGACATGTACTGGCTTAAGCAGGGGGACACGTCTGGCACTGCAGGATCTGAGTCCTGGCGCGTAGTGTGTTACTGATGGTAGCCTTTGTTACGTTGGTCCCAGCTCTCTGCAGGTCATTCATAAGGTCCCCCCGTGTGGTCCTGGGATTTTTGCTCACCTTTTTTGTGATCATTTTGACCCCACGGGGTGAGATCTTGCATGGAGCCCCAGATTGAGGGAGATTATCAGTGGTCTTGTATGTCTTCCATTTTCTAATTATTGCTCCCACAGTTGATTTGTTCACACCAAGCTGCTTGCCTATTGCAGATTCAGTCTTCCCAGCCTGGTGCAGGTCTACAATTTTGTTTCTGGTGTCCTTTGAGAGCTCTTTAGTCTTCACCATAGTGGAGTTTGGAGTGCGACTGTTTGAGGTTGTGGACAGGTGTCTTTTATACTGATAACAAGTTCAAACAGGTGCCATTGATACAGGTAATGAGTGCAGGACAGAGGAGCCTCTTAAAGAAGAAGGTACAGGTCGGTGAGAGCCAGAAATCTTGCTTGTTTGTAGGTGACCAAATACTTATTTTCCACCATAATTTGCAAATAAATTCTTTCCAAATCAGCCAATGTGATTGTCTGGATTTTTTTTCTCATTTTGTCTCTCATAGTTGGTCTACCTATGATGCCAATTACAGGCCTCTCTCATCCATTATTTTTAAGTGTGAGAACTTGCACAATTGGTGGCTGACTAAATACTTTTTTGCCCCACCACTGTATATATATATATATATATATACTGCATGTTGAAATGCATTTTTATCACAAAATATCTGAAAAATATTATTAAAAATACATTTCAAATACACTGTATGTCTTTAAAAAAACAAATCTACATTTTTGGAATGCATTTACAAATATATGTAA